AACTACAGTTTTTAAAAAAGTAAAATTAAAACCCAACCAAACTACCAACGACGTCATCAAATTTGGCGTTGTGACCCCGTATTTCCCCGACCTTGTATGGCAGAGTCGGAAGCCATTGTGGGCCCGGCCTTGAACACTGCGCCCGGGGTGGGGATCACCACTGTGTTGTCCACTTCTGTGATGACGTCACGAAGTCCAGCTGCAGGCAGCTCACTGTAGTCTTCGTCCAGGGCGGCGCAGTCGAAAACTTTCACCTAAGTAGGAAAACCGGTTCCGGGGATTGGGGGAGAGGGTGGGGGGAACTGCAGTCACACCATTCTTTCATCTGAGCTGATTTTGTTAAGTAAATTAACTAAATGCTCCAAGGAATCAATTAATTAATCAATCAAATTAATCAATGAATGAATCCGCCAGTCAAGGAATGAACATGATAAGATAAAATAAATCTTTATTGCCCATTCCCTGGCACACTGGTTTGGTATTTCAACGCGTATACATACACACACGCGCAAACACACACACAAATACATACCGACGCATACAAACACACACGCAAACAAACACACACATATTCACGCACACAAACATGCACACACACACACACACACACACAAACACACACTCACAAACACACACACACAAACACACACACACACGCAAGCACAAAAACATGCATATGCATGCAGTGTGCGTGCTCTTACAAACAGGTTTAGAGTCACATGCATAATATAATTAATGAAAGTAATATAAACAATAATAATGTTAAGCTAGATACATAAATTCAGTATTCTGACTGTAACTCGATGGTATTCTGATGCATGCTCTAGGGTCATATGAATACTTAAATCAAGATGATTGAGACGGAAGAAGTTTAATGGATGATGGTAAGAGTGACCTTCTGTAACTTTCTTTGTTACAGATCAGAAGCCTAGGTCTTTTAGATCTACTTTTGACTCATGTTTTTATTTGAGTGAACAATGGATGTCTATTGCCAAAAAGATGGAATTAATTTTTCTAGTGCAAGCTATAATGTACCATTCATCCAAGTATGGGAATGCAGATGTTGGAATTGTGCATGCTTTCCGTATTAATCGATTAAAATTTTTCTTTATCTTGTTGTCTTGTGTTCCCAGCCCATGCTGTTATACAGGAATTGATCATACTTTCAAAGGTAGAATGATAAAATATGGACGTCAATGTTATATCAACTTTCAAATACATGAGCTTCCTTTAAAAAAAAGAAAAGCCTTTCGTTCACTTTTTTTTATGCAGGAAAGAAGTGTGGACATGCCAAATACTTAAAATATTATGACACTTGCTCGACGTTTTTATTTTTAATGTCGAGTAGTTGCAGGGGCAGTTTCTTTTTTCTAAAATCAACTATAAGTTCTTTCATAATTAAAAGCAGATTATGATTTTCACTCCATTCAGAAATGTTTGGTACAAAATTCCGGTACGAAGTTTCGTTATGATTAGCCTGGATAATCCCAATTATGGTTGAATAAATGAAAGAAGGAAGAAAAAAGGAATTAATTTGGGTTTTTTTGTGTTTTTTTTTTTTACATTTTATTTTTAGAACCCTGCAAGACAATTTACAGCCGTCCACTTGAGAGATCATATTGATGAGGTTAAATAGATTAAATAGACCAATATTGGCAGAGAAGCTTATAGTATTGTCTGTTTCACGTCCAGGAGGAATGACGCTAGAGTTGTTTAAAATAGAAATCCATGTAACTGCCGTGTTATAAACAATGTTAGTTTACCAAGAGTATAATAATAATAATGCTGGAATACTTTCCATGTATCACAGAGAAAAGGGTACTTTCGATTGTGACTGAATATTAAGAAGAAACGTTTTCCAGACTCCCTAAATTTTGGTAACAGTTTGCAGATTAATGTACTTGATGATCGTATGGACCAGCTACACGATGTGTGTTTTTTAAATTAGCTCGAGGTTAAGAGAAGCCTAACTGGACACTGACGGTCTATAATAGTTCTGGTTATTTACTTAAGTTATTTACCGAATTTGCAACACAATGAGGTTACCTTAGTGGTTAAGCTCTCGGACTCGCAACCGTTAGGTCGTGGGTTCGAATCCCGTCAGGGTCCTGACGTTGTGTCCTTGGGAAAAGCACTTTGTACACATTTTCCTCACTTCACCCAGGAGAAATGGGTA